AAAAAAAATGTCGCAGGAGAATTATTTCTACTACAAACTCCATTTACAAAATTTTAGAGTAGTAATTATTTCTACTACAAACTAATAAGAGCTAAGCAAAATTCGATCTCCAGAAGGCTTTTTGACCAAAAATATTTTCAAAAACAACTCTCCAATAATTCGTGACCAAAATGAGCTTACATCCTCGAAAACAACAGTAAGTAGTTCTACAGAAAAAAATCGATACGGTGGAAGAAACTGGTTGTTTCGAAAAGGAATTCCAAGACGATTACGTGTACTTAGAAGAAAAACAAAAACCTATCATTTTTCACATCATCCGTGTTCGAGAATTGATTTGCATTTCAAGAGACGCACAGCGGCGACGATCAGAACGCGAGAAATATCGGGAATGCGAATCTTTGCAATTTAGAGAAAAGCAACAATGGTGTCTTAGAGATGAAATTGGTCACGGAATTTATAGTTCTAAGCGAGCAAAATTCGCAAATAAGGGTTTTTACTGACACTGACGTTCTAATCACTGTTTTATTTTGAGTTTCTAACAGAAAGCGGACCAAGGAATAAATGGCGTTCTATAGCAATACAGTGCGCTTGGACGAGTAAGTGTGTGTTTGTGAAGCTCGGATACGGGCACATCGGTCTCTACCTGAAGCCAGCGGCTATCCTTGACGTTGAGCAATTGCGTGACAATAGCTGAGTTTGGAGCTGAGACATTTCCGGGAATTGTTCCCGGAGCTAGAGCGCCCGACTGAGCCACCACAGCACCAGCTCCGGCGGCGGTATTACTGTTCTCGTCGAACATGAAGCCTCTGTAAATGGCAATAAGCGAAAACTCGAGTTAGAAAAAGCACTAAAGCCGGCAGAAAGCGTGATTTTGAGCATGAACAGATAGTATTTTCTTTTGGAGAAATAAAATGAGAAGCAGGATGCATTGGCATTGTCTGGCAAAGTTTGGAAAATGCACTATGTAGTAAGGAAGCCACTGAAATGTACAGCTGTCAACGGCGTATTCGTCAGGCAAGAGCACAACGAGACAAAATGTGTGTAGGTTAAAACGAGGCAATGGTGGCGAGAATTTCTATAGCTGAACAGGACGACTCTAAAACGGTGGTGGCCGTCCGCGATGTGCTGCGCTAGGAAACCGGTTGCACCCCAGCGACAGCGAAAACACATGCGCGATATATAGATAGCGTAGCATAAAAAGTCAATTGCACATGCTAGACTCTGCCGCCTTGGCAGTAAGTGAGCAGCCCCCGGATAACACATAAAGAGAGTGAATGTAAGAGAGTTGGCTGGAACCTCAATCACACAGCCGGCGTTTTTTTTTTTGCCTGTAGAGCGCGAGGAGTCGGACGGAACGAAGCGGCGGCGGCG